CCCTCACTCACCGCCTAAATAATTTCCTTTCAGCTCCGGTATCACCTTCATTCCTCCAAATAAGGAAGCGCCAGGTCTTTCCTGGATCCTACCTAAAACATTCTTTGCAGCCTCACATATTTATTTTACCACCACCCCTCCTGGTTCTTTTCCTGGGTAACTTATTTCACGAGTTTAAAATGCTCTATTGCCTTTGGTGGGTTCTGGGGAGTCACTCCTAGGTCTCACAGGGAGGTGAGAGAAGAGTTGAAAATAATCTCTTTAAAATGGTGACATTTGCTTGATCACATTGACATTTTTATGGTATCAAAGCCGGGCTTCCTGAAATAGAGCTCCGATGAAAAGGATAAAGAAAGCTCCAGCTTAGCTGCTGGCATTTGCATGCACTGATTCACCACCTCCAGCCCAGCTACCCACAGGCAGTTTTTCCCTGACACTGAATCAAATTACACGCAATACTAAAGGCTGGAGGTTTGCTCACATTCTGATTTGGGATGCTGCTGTTCATTTTTAACTTCCCTGAGACAATGTGTACTTTTCCAACTCTGGTCACCACGCTGAATCACAATAAGACACTTTTTCCAGACAGCCAACAATGACACCCAACTTGACTAGAGAAAGATAACTCAAAATATCCTGAGAAGACTCAAGGCACGGCAAAATAAAATGAGAACGACTGAATTGGTATTGCTAGATAAGAGTTCCGAGTGAGGCGCAAATGTTCATTTTCTAAATTCTTAGAATTTATTCTAAGCCAGTGGCCCCTATTCTCAAGAGAATCGGTGGGTGAGGGGTGCTGAGGGAAGTTTGCAGAAGAAAAATTTGAAGGAGGATATAGGAATAATGAGAAAGGGAGACACAGCAGATCATAGAATGGCAGATTCAAAGCACGAGCTGCTTGTCTGAAGTGGCATTTGAGGCACTCATGAGAAACAAGGGCTGGTCTCAGCCAGGGAAAAGCATAATCAAAATAGCTTTATTGTGCAAAGTAGCTTTTCTTTTTCTTTCTTCTGGGATGGGAGTAGAGGGAGGACAGAATTAGGAGGATGCACTGGAACTAGGACAGGGGTTAGAAGTTAGGCAAATACCTAGAACTCCAGTAAAGTATGTGTGGGCAATGAAAACAGCTCTGAATGTGGCTCACAAGTGGCAGGGCCAAGCACCCTTCCGGAACACATGTATGGATGCCAAAAAACAAAATGGGGTTTCAAAGCTTCTTGAAACATACTAAAATGTTACAGTGGTATATCCCAAAGTATGTTCCAGGGGATCCTGTGTTACCTGTAAACAGAATCTGTAGTCAGAGAAATTGGGGTAAGGGGGACACTTTCAACAAATAGGTTTCTGGTTGGGCGCAGTGGCTCACTCCTGTAATCCCAGCACTTTGGGAGGCCAAGGCAGGCGGATCACCCGAGGTCGGGAGTTTGAGACCCGCCTGACCAACATGGAGAAACCCTGTCTTTACTAAAAATACAATAATAATTAGCTGGGCATGGTGGTGTATGCCTGTAATTCCAGCCACTTGGGAGACTGAGGCAGGAGAATGGCTTGAACCCGGGAAGCAGAGGTTGCAGTGAGCCGAGATCACACCATTGAACTTCAGCCTGGGCAACAAGAGCAAAACTCCATCTCAAAAACAAAAACAAACGAACAAAAAAGGTTTCTTCATTGTAGAACTTCTCAAAGTCTTAATAAGCTAATGTGCAAATGTGCATTATTTTGACTTTGCAAGATACAAGGTGACCATTTTCTAAGTGTATGTAATGGTAAAACTTATTTTTTGTCTTTTTCTTGTGGCAAGGACTATCCTAGTCCTCTGAAGATCACAGTCTGAAATATTAGAGTTTCATCTTGTTTATTATTTGGTTATTACACATTTCAGAAAATAATTACTCCTTAAAATTTCTAACTCACTTCATTGACACCTTCAATATTCTTCAATTTTTAACATCAGAGATTACTTTCCCCATGACCTTTGATCAAACTGAGTATTTCCCAAACTTAAAAAAAAAAAAAAATCCCTAGACAAATTACTTTCTGACCTAGCTATGGACACAAACCCATTACCAAAAGGGGTTATGAAATAACTTGATTGTTAAGAATGTGGTAGAGAATTTCCATTGTTTATTCATCTGGTTAGATAGTAAAAACAAAAGGTAAAAATAAAAAGAATTTTCCTTGTTGGGTAGGTTTAGGCAATCAGTGAATAAAGAAATATAGCCCAGGAAGCCTCTTACACCCTTTCCAGATGCACCATTCTGTGATTTAAAACACCCAACGCAATGCACCTATATAATTTCAAGATAGAGTTGTTATATCAAGCATCATTGATATCTCACTTACCTGAAATAAACATTTCCTAAAATAAATATGCTTGGGCTTTTTTTTTTCTTAAAATAGTGAAACCATCCCAGAATGCCTAGGAATATTATAGACGTGGTAACCAAATGCCACCCATATCTCCAGTGTCCCCTGCCTGGGGTTTCCTCAAGGCCCTTCATTGAATGCTCAACATAAGGTCTGGGAATTGCCGGAGAAGAGAAAGAAGAAGTTGTCCAGCCTGCCCTTTCCCTCAGTAATCTCTACAGTTGGAAGAGCTGCATGTTGGGAAAGACAATTTAGAAGCAAAAGATCTCATAGTCCATTTCTCTCAGGACAAGAACCTCTTCTAGTCTTGAGAATACTATACTCAAGAAAGAACAGATACCAAATTTGACAAAACAGGATATTCTCAGTGTTATATTTTGTTACAATAAATCCTTATGTTAAAAGTTTGAGAATGCAGTTTAAAATATAAACACTAACACATTACAGTACTTGGTGGTCCACATGATTAATGGGTCAAATCAAAGATAATATTTTCAATTGACATGCCATAGAGATGATAATCCCACACACCGTAACCTATGACACTAAAGTCTGGGGAGGAAATGGGAATTAGAAGTCAAAAGAGACGTGTTTTCAAGCCCTTTGGTAGTCTGGCCACAAATCAAGATTCATTGACAAAGACTCAAAACTGAACCTCCCGGATACGGACTTTCGTTATTAACTAAACATTGGGTTTTTCACTTTTGTTGGGCATTTGGCCTTCAACTGACGACTGAATGCTGAGATCCTGGGCTTACAGCCCGTATACATATTGAAGGCTACAAATAAAAAGAACTCTGCGGGGCAGGCAGCAGGTGCACTAACAGTACAGGCCAAAGACACAACCACCCACTGACACTTATAGGCTTACATAAGAATGCACAGTGGCCACAGTACTTATATGACTGAAGATTTTTTCATATTGGTTTGTGCTGCATTAGCTCAACAGTATAGTCCTAATATTTTAAAATGTTAATATTCCCAATCAAGAAAGCATAATCTACTTGTGTTAAAAAGAAATAAGTATATTAAAAGAAATCTGAGTTAAAAGTTTTATTCATTCAACATCTCACATTACAAATATTTAAAAATTATATGCATACTGGTATAAATAGTCATTTGCAAACTATTTAATAACATTAATTTTCCACTAGCACTTCAACAAATGAATTCTTTTAAAAAAGGAACTGTGTTATATAACTTAAGAGTAGAACATACAAAAATAGGAACTTAACGTGAAAATGACTTTAATAAAAAATGAATTACCCTTATTTAAAATGCTATAATAAATACTACAACCTCCCCATACACAGTAAAAACTATATGGAAATTCAGCCAAGTAGTACAATTAACTGACATACTTAAATAACTTTTCCTTCTGATAATATGAGCAATACACTGGAAAAAAAAATTAGGGATTAGTAAAAACTAGACAACCACTTGCTAAAAGTTTCACTTCCAAAAAATATAACAAAAATCTGATGAAAATTATAAAAACTAATTATACTTTAAATTTTAAAAATATAAAAAATAAAACAGTTGAATACAATATTGTCCCGATTCTTACAATGCTATCAATCACAGTAGCTTTAAAATAATAAAATAAAGCAAATGACCAAAACCTCTTTTATTCCATTTTTAAAAATAATCTCAAATTTACATTAGTAGAAAGATTGATTTCTGATTCTTTTCTTTAGAAACACCAGCAAGAAAGAGGATTACTCTTAACAGTAGAAAATGACATTTTTAAATGTCTGCAATTAAAAACAAAGAATTACACTGCAAAGATCTTTCAAAAGTTTGAAATAAGTATTGCACATAACTTGAAGTTAACTTGCCACAATTCATCACATTCAAGTTTTAAATCACCTTTTAACAGAAGATTCAACTCTTCAAAACAAAAGGGGTGAATTATCAAGTCTTTCCAACAGCACTCTCATAAAATGCTAAATTCATTCACTGCAAGTTTTATTTTGCATTCTGCAGAGGTCTGTGTATGGAGAAGTATATATATTATACCAAAGCGCGGGGACCAGAGGGGAAAGGAGAGGGTTCCTTTACATAGAAAATAATCAGAAACACTTTATTTTACATTGCAAAAATAACCATGTAATTACTCTGTAACTACATTGTAAGTACATGGCTGGTGCCATGCTAGTGCGCTAGAACTACATGCTTGGTGAATTGAAGTGATGCCCTAAAATCTGTAAACTAATTACATGTTAATTATGTTTGAGTTACATGGTAACTCCCAACTACAATCCCATGTAATCTGAAGAACATGTAATCAATAAAGTTCAGAGTAATAGATAATCATTGTTTATGCCCTGTAAATTGAAGTGTAACCAAATAATCTGTAAACACGCTTGTCACACAATCACAAGTAAATATTAGTAGAATAACAATTTCTTACATTAATCATGCATACTAACATTACAGACCTGTCCCAAGGCAGGCTATTTTTTTTTTCCTTATATATAATTTAAAAGAGCAGACATCTCTGAATCAAACACTTAACATCAATTTATTAATATTAAAAATGGCTAAACATTCACCAAAAATGTCTGCGTTTTATGAATAATTTTAAAAACTTAGTAAGAAGCTGTAGACAATTTTGTTATTTTAAATTTCTACCCTATGCTTATGCATTTAGTTTTTTTTTTTTTTTTTTAGGAACTACAGTGTTATCTGTCATTTTCATGCGAATTTTTTTTCATTAATTTGTGACTTTACATAGACTATTTCTTATTTTTTTTGTACACCAATAGCTGGTGCTGGGGAAGGATGTTTAAGCAACATGCTTTCTCTTCTCTGCAGACTCTAAAATAGCATTGCCAGTGCACGACATTCATAATTTAAAATGTATGCAGAGCACTGAAATGTATAAAAAGCAGAATATAAGAAAATAAAATTTATTAAAATTATTTATATTAAAAAATGAAGTATATGAAGATCTCTCAGTAATAAAAGTACAAAAAGCTACTCTTTGCAATATGAAAAATTGAGGTATTGCATAAAGAGATATCCCGTCAGTGAAAAGTGTGCCTAAAAATGTTCACTGTTGGAAAAACAAGATATACAAAAGTAGTGCATAACAAATATACATTATGTGCATGACAAAATAAGTTAGCTACAAAAACACTGTACCGAAATTCAGCAGGTCATGTACAAAGGGAAAAATTATTATTCAAAGCTAGTTCTCAAACAGTGTTATTTCTTGTTAACTCATCACACCTGTTTACTGAGTAGGAACAGCACGATAGCACACCCCAAGCCACCTACAAGCATTTAAAAGAGTAAAAAGAGGCAAATGAACATTCCAATTAGAATCATGTAGTTCAGGAGAAAAGAAAAAAAAGTCCCTGACCAGCTACACAAGAGCACCCTCCATTCGCATGACTGCTTTCAATATTTGCAGGGAATTCTTTAAAAGCAGCTCCCTTTCTATGTTTGAATATTAGACAGCAAATGCCTCCATTTTGACCTTTGGAACTTAACAGGTATAGTTCATTAAAGCCTGTATTAAAAATAAAGGGCTGCTTTTCCTAAAGATCGTCCATAGGGGTCATAAGCCAGGTGGTTCCACAGCAGTGCTGGGGCAAGTCTTTGGTTTTGAAGGATCCAAGATGGTACTGTTAGGTAGCACAACTAGCAAGATTGCCATTCGATCATTTTATTTCATGTTTTGCCCACTGATAATAATCCTTTTAATGATGGATAGGGCATTTAATAAGAGAATGTCAATTAAAATAAAAGTTACTTCCATGACTAGGGCTTCAAGAGACTATTTTAAATTTACCCCTGAAGCATACTGTTCAACACATAACGCCTTTCAAAGCTAGAATTTTACTTATAATAAAGCATGCATTACTTGATGAAGTTGGCACTTCAAACACTGACTATGTCCCATGCTAAATTCTGAAACTGTATTGTTATTTTAGTTTATAGGAAGAGTAAGATAAACATACGTACCTTTGCACAGATTTACACAGTTACTTAGTTCAACAGTGCAAAACACTTTGCAACTACTTTTTTTAAACTTTTTTTTTTTTTTCATTTTCTATGTTACAACTAAATTACAGGATACCCAAAGTAACTTTAAATCTAAAAGTAAGCCAATCAGCAGCCAAATTATATATTGGTTTTGTCTTCCAGTTTTGGCTACAAGTGTACTGTAACACAAAATCAAAAATTATATCCTTGAGGTATCTCTAGATCTGTTGTTTTTTAACGTCAAAATGGAGAGCAAAGGCTGACACCTGATGAGTGTTAGTAAATTAGGATATAGAGTTTATATATAAACATCAAAAATAAAATTTATACATTTGTTCTTCAGGAGAGGAAATGCTAGGTTTCCCACCAGTTGTCATTAATTCTAGCTTTGGTAGGTTTCCTGGGGCTTTGACCAGATAAGTAAATTAAATAAATAAGTGCACTCCTCTCAGTAGTAAATTTACCCAATTTTTATATTCTGAATTTTAAAAATTGTTTAAGAGAAAATAAACCTAGCTCTGCCTACTTTACTTTTTTTGTTGTTGTTGTTGTTTATTTTTTCTGATGTGGTGGTTTTTTTTTGAGGGATAATGAAATTATGTTCAGCCTCAAAACCCTGAAAATTAATTATAATGCTGCTCAATCTTGCTTATGCATTTGTTTGCTCTAACATGCTCTTTCCATTAAAAATTGTTAACTTCCTCTATTGCTGTTAAAAAAATTAAAAAGGGATGGAAAAAAGAGAGAGACAAAAAAGATGAAAAAAAAAAAAAAAGAAAGAAAGAAAAAGGCAAAAGCACTTAAAAAAAAAAAAAAATGTCAGATAGACCGATAGTGTTATTGTTGCATGGTTATTTTAATAAAAGTATTCTTATATGTTATATTATTAACAATAATTTAATTAAAAACCCAAAATACTCTATTGTTTCATTTCTCTTTTAATATTTCTCTCTCTCCTCTAAGAAAATGTTGCAGGAAGTTTGGATCCTCTTGGTCTCCAGCAAAACAAGAGAATAAAACTTCCATGCAATCCGATGGCAATACGAAAAAGGAGTTCATATTGTTTGCAGTGACACAAGAATCTACAAAACACCTATATTATAGGTCATTCTTTTCATTATACTATAGTTAAGTTACAGACTGCTACAAAAGGACATGCCAGCGTGAAGAGGTTGAGGAAGGGGTCAGAATTAACAGAAGAGTGCACTTATTCTGAGGCCTGAAAATGAGCACTGTAGTTATCCTTTAGTTCCAGCGGAATGAAATATGCCGAGGGCGGTCACCTCCTTCCTTCACCAGGGGCTTGTGGAATTCCCTGCCAGCGCGAGAATGGATAGCAGCCCAGCAATATTCACAGTAATACTGCAGACAGGTAACATTAGCACAGAAAAATGGAGCAAATTTTCCCCCACAACGGGCCCCCTGACATTCATCACACAGCTGATCATCCAAGACATATGGCTTAACTTCCACCTGTAATCAAAAATAGGAGTTTACATTTTTCAGTGACGAGACCAGCAATGCTTATCACACATGTACATTTCCACCCACTATTTGAATGAGTCTATTAGAAGGTGCCCAAAGAGGAAGGACCAATTATCCATTTACTGAAATATGGATAGTTCATCTTTTAAGAACCTAGTAAGGCTTTTATTATCTATCATTTTATATTTTTTTCTTATTAAATAAACATCCTTCAAAGGAAAAAGGATTTTTTTTGACATCATGAAGTGAAGCCAACTGTTGAGACTAGAACGTTATGAGATTAAACCCACAGGAGATTTTTCATAGACACAAACCCTCATTTTAATTAGTGGATCTGGATTTTTGTCATATGTGGAATCATAATTTAAACAAAATCAACTAAGAGGATCCAAGTTCCACACAATTGCACTTCAATATTCAAGTTGGTGGGAAGACGCCTGACTACTGCGTCACAAGATTCTGAGCTGTCGTAAAGCCTGGCTCGTGGTTTCTATTTATAGTGTACACATGTTGGGTTATAATCACAAACCTGGAACTCTGTTACAAAAAAAAAAAAAAAGATGCAGCCATAGGATTCACAGTCTAAAAAAAAAAAAAAAAATTTCTCAGTAAGAATATGGTTCACCTGAGTCTAAAAGTCAGAGGTCAATTTCTTTTTTTTTTTTTTTTTGAGACGGAGTCTCGCTCTGTCACCCAGGCTGGAGTGCAGTGGCCGGATCTCTGCTCACTGCAAGCTCCGCCTCCCGGGTTTACGCCATTCTCCTGTCTCAGCCTCCCAAGTAACTGGGACTACAGGCGCTCGCCACCTCGCCCGGCTAGTTTTTTGTACTTTTTAGTAGAGATGGGGTTTCACCGTGTTAGCCAGGATGGTCTCGATCTCCTGACCTCGAGATCCGCCCGTCTCGGCCTCCCAAAGTGCTGGGATTACAGGCTTGAGCCACCGCGCCCGGCCGAGAGGTCAATTTCTAAAACTGGGCCTGTTCCAGCGTTCTGTCGGCCAACCTGTCATGTGAACCTTTCAAGCATTAACAGTCACCTGGTTATTAATTCATCAGCTAGAAAAGAGCTGGTTATTTTTAGTCTGGAGAGATTCATGGCTGAAACTCCCTTACAGCAGGCTGTCACCACCACTGGTGGCATCCAGCTCTGACAAGGAATCCCGACCAAGATTAGCCATGAACAAAAGGAGAAGAACATGCAGTGAGTCATGAGTGTGCCTCTGTGCTCCAGCCTGGGTGACAGAGTGAGACCCTGCCTCTAAAAAAATATTTTTAACTAAAAAAATAAAAGTACAAAAGAAGAAGAGTGCCATGAAGTCCAGGAAGAGCAGGCATAAGGACAGCACTGGGCTTCTGGCCTCTAGGCTGCTCCATAATGTCTACAGAGTGACAAGAACCCTGGGCAAAGGATTTCATTGCAGAGGAACACAAATTCAGTCTGAATTTCTAATGACCACCCCCACAGCTCTGAAACTTATGTTGGAATGAGGCAGTGAGATGTAGGTATTTTTTAGTGTGCATAAAAAACCAAGTAGGCCGGGAGTGGTGGGTGGCTCATACCTGTAATCCCAGCACTTTGGGAAACCGAGGCAGGCAGATCCATTGAGGTCAGGAGTTCGAAACCAGCCTGACCAACATGGTGAAACCCTGTCTCTACTAAAAATACAAAAATTTGGTGGGCATGGTGGTGTGTGCCTGTAATCCCATCTACTCGGAAGGCTAAGACAGGAGAATCACTTGAACCTGGAAGGCAGAGGTTGGAGTGAGTCGAGATTGTACCACTCCACTCCAGCCTGGGTGACGGAGAGAGACTCCATCTCAAAAAACAAACAAACAAAGTTGGTATGTTAACATACTAACCTTGTCCCTCCCCGATGCTTATAATAGAATAGCTACTTTTCTCTTTAATATATTCACAGTTTGTAGGATGACCACCACTATCTTAAATTTTTTTACTGCCAATGAAGTAGACTATACATGACATGAAACATAAAAAGCAGAAACCACTACTGACTTGATCATTTTTACATCTTGAATTGAGAACAACACGATCAAATCAATCTATTTTAGCACAATGCCTCAGAGTGTTGGATATCAAAGTCAGCGTGCATGAAAGTGCCAGTGTGCCATGAAATAAAAAGGAGACACCAAAATATAAAGCAATATATTGCTTCCCTCATCAATAAAGGCTTTCTATGAAAAAAAATTGCCAGCTGGACCAAACATTGTGCCCAGTAATGTAGCTGATTACACATTCTGGTCTAAATTCCTATCTCACTACAAACTAAGTTTGCAGACTGGCGTTCAGTCCACAGGCCACACTTTGAGTAGTAAGGGCAAGTGATATAGTTCTATCTTCTAGGAAATAAACTCATGAGGACAGGAACTTCTTGCCCTAAGCACTAAAACATTTGTTGAATGCATGAAACACCAAGCTAAGAAATAAATCAGTGAGAGATAGCGGCTGTGGAAAAAGAAAAAAAAAAAAAAAAGAGAGAAATCTGTGAGTGCAATTCATAAAAAAAAAAAAAAAAGCTGAGGTCTTCGCTATGTCCCAGGATTAAAAAACAAACAAAAAAGGGGCAGGAAACCTCAAGGGCATTCCTGTTTGTATACCTGATATAACACGGTACAAAGGATTCCCTAAATATTTATTGAATGAATGACAAACTACGTGAATGAATGGATGCATGGATTGAGACTGAATGGAAGCTACAGTTTAGAGAAGATTAAATTAACTCAGGTAAATTATAGTGTTCTGATTAGGCTACTCAAAAAACTAAAAGATAAAAGAAATTCATAGGAAATTATTTCATGTATTATAGAGCATAACTAACTCTATAGGCAAAATTGTCAGCTGTCACTTTACTGTCATAAAATTCTCTCATTCTAATATTGGTAATCGCACATTTAGAGGACCATTTCTAGAATTTTCCAAAATGTAGTACAAGGCTTACCCGTTTATCTATCTCTCCATGCTGCAGCTGAACAAAGCGGGCACTGATAGCAGCTATGTAACTCTGTTGATTAGAGAATGCAACTCTCCCAGCTCCTTTCGGGTATTTCAGCTCAGGGTCAGTATCAATCCCAGCGTAGCACACACCTCCATAGAGCCGATCCATTATCATCGCAAGCTCCACTAATTAAGAAAGGAGCAAAGAGGATATTTAAATTAGGAAAATTCATCTGGCTCACCAACTGTTTCATCAAAAGCAATTCATCTGTACTCTCAGCTCACATCATTATAATAATTATTAAAATGAAACATTACTACAACCAGTCATCCATTGTGTTAAGCCTTAATCTTTTAATTGTGGGCAAGGGGTTGCTAGGTGTTTTCTAGTATGTTCTCTCTATTATTCTCACAACTCTATGAAGTAGGCAGTAATTTCCCGAGGAAATTGAGGCGCTGAGGGGCGATCCATCTGTCCAAGGTCACAGGTCATTAAGTGATAGTACTCCCATGTTTGCCTGCTCTATGCCATGTTGCTGCCATAGATTTACCAGTTAATAATGGATTGATTAATGTAATAATTACTTGAACACGAGAAAACTAACTGGTAGATTCTTTGGGGGCCCTCCTGGCTTATTTCCATTAAAACCCTTTCCCCCACAGTCGGTTCACCAATTTTTCATTTAAAAAATCCTTGAAGTAATGACTGCATTTTCTTCTTTATGAAGTGTTAAAATCGTGCAGCTACATTCCTGTTCATGTTATGTTTCTTTTAATCTCATTTATGCTATTAAACCTCAAATTACTTGAAGTTAGGAATTTAATTTGTTCTGTAAGTACTACTCTAAAAATACGATGCATTGCTGAGAAGTCTATTATATCCCAGAGCTCAGTCAGTGGCTGCTGAGCAAATGAGGATGTGGGAAACAAATACTGACAATCTCAATACAGAGTCTATTCTTGAAGGGCTTTTTTTCTTTTCAGACAATGATGAGAGTAATAATTAGCATTATGCAGCACTAGACTAAGTACTTTGCACTGGTCATCTCATTCAACCCTCAAAATAACACTAGGAAAAGTTTTTTCCTAGTGTTACTTTTTTCCTAGTGTTATTTCATCCTGAGGAGGAAAAGTGTTTCGTCCCTACCTGACAGAGGGGGAAACTGGGAATTAGAAAAGTCATGGAATTTGTCCAAGGTCACTTAACTATTAGAGCACATGAATTCAAACCCCGATACTTTGATTCTAGAACTCTCACTTTTGGATGTTAACTCAAATTCTTAGGAAAAATTTCTCCTGAAGATCTTTATATTTCTGTGCTATGGGATAGAGAGTTTGTTGTCTGTTTCATCATACCAGCTCGTAATGGCCGAGGAACACCACCAACAAATATAGTTTTTCGTGGGTCAAGTGGCTGTGAACCATCCATCACAAAGTCACTGTCACTGAGATTCCAAGGCCGAATCTGGACCTAGGGAATGTGCAAACCAAAACGTCTCATTCTCAATACAGACAATTCATGGGCAAAAAAGTTAAAAATTATTACAAATTATTTCTAAAAGCAATAATCCTATCATTACAAGTCAATAAAGCTGGGAAACTAGAAGATTTAAAAATCGTGTATCCCAACCCATCATTTTATTTTTAGGAATAAACTAAACCAAGGTGGAAAGTTCAATTTGATTCTCTATTATAAGCCAAATTACTTAACATGTCCGTAATTATTTGTAAGTTAAATCACTGTTTTTTAGCTTATTTGGACCTTTAGTCTGTCCAGTGCCCCAGTATCTACATAATTTAAATGTTTAGCATGGTATCCAATGCCAATCAAAATACAATGCTAAGTAAACTCGAATTGTGTGTCCAATCAGTGTATGTCCAGGAAATGCAAACTACTCCTGATACTATCAAATCTGATGCATTATTTCAAAATGGTTTTGAAAGTAAAAATACTGATGATATTTGCAATATATTTTTTTTATATGACAAATACTTCAGTGTATCCATTAGATTGTTTTTTTTAGAATCATGTACCTCATTTAAAACTGTTCACATTTTCTAACTATCACAAATGCCCACGCCAACGGCTATGGGTTGACAGCGGTGTATACCCAAATACACACACCAATAGAGTCCTAGGTCAAAGGTCCCAAATTCAAATACGGATGGGGATTGGCAGGGAACATAAACAAGTCAAGCAGCAAGAGTCCAGACCACAGGAACTCTTAGAAAGTTTCTGACTTAGACAACCACAAGACATCAAGAGAAGCTCCACAAATGTTATTTGCTTAAGCTGGGCCCACTGAGAACTCCTTTCTGCACTATATCCCATCATTCATTGGGTGCTGGCTGAGTGATAATAATCTGCTGCTTTGCCAGATTCATCAAAACATGCCAGTTGCTCCTCTTCCCAAAGGCTAAATTTTATGATAAACTTTTCCAAAAAGAAAAACAGTATGCTATGCAATGTATCTGTACACGTATATACACGATTCACTCTACTCTGGAGAGTACCATATATAAAGTTAAGGACAATATTGGGTAAAATCTTTATCAAAGTGAGGAAAAAGCTAGAAAGACACACATACAGTATTTGTGATTTGAGTTCTGTTATTCAGAGGCAATTCAGCTATTTTATTAAATGCATTATCAAGTAAAGTCTTTATTTTATTTTATTTTATTTTATTTTATTTTATTTTTGAGAAAGAGTCTCACTCGTCACCCAGGCTGGAGTTGCAGCGGTGTGATCTCTGCTCACTGCAATCTCTGCCTCCTGGGTTAAGGTGATTGTCGTGCCTCAGCCTCCCAAGTAGCTGGGACTACAGGAAAAATTAGCCTGGCTAATTTTTGTATTTTCAGTAGAGACTGCATTTCACCATGTTGGCCAGGCTGGTCTCGAACTCCTGACCTCATGTGATCCACCTGCTTCGGCCTCCCAAAGTGCTGGGGTAACAGGTGTGAGCCACTACGCCCAGCCGTGAAGTCTTTTAAAAATAAAGATTTACCAATTATATTTCAACTAACCAAAAATTAAATGTCAAATTGATATGTGCAAATATATAGAATGTCAATGTTAAGAATTTCACAAGACTTTACTTAGTCTGCTTACAAACGTGTCAATTAAGTACCCGAAACACATCAAGTTGTCCATGGGTTTTTCACACAGAATAGAGGAATGGAGGCAAAAACAAGAAGCTATTTTATGCTAAACTATACTTACTGGCTTATCCTTGATGGTGGGACTTGATACACAAAGGTAGAGTTTTCCATCTTCTTCAATGCATGCATCAATGAGAGCCTGCACAGAGCTTTCATCTTGAAAGAGCAGAAATGCATAGCCTGAAAAAAAGGGGGAAAGAAGGCTTACATGTTTTCCTATCTTTTGGTAATTCTTCAGGGGAAAGGAATCATGCACTAAAACTAAAGAAAGGAAAAGGGAATAGGAAAAAAAATTAAAACAATATTTCTACCAAAAGTCTGATAACATCAATATACAGTTCCTTTTGGTAGTATCTTGAAACATCTTTTAGAGTAAAATTAAATTTGAATTAAAAGAATATTAGGTTGAAATTTTAAAGAGCATTTGGGAAAATGCAAGTTTAACAATGAAACATTTCACAGTGAAGGTGAACATTTATGAAAAGGCTACACATTAAACAATGTAAGAATAAATTACATAAGTATAATGAATCTTGAGAATTACCTTTAGGAGGAAAATACGATTTGCTCTCGGCTTTATGAGGCCAATCCACAATCAAAGGGCCAAAGCGACGAAAACTAGCTGTGATCTCATCTAATAACAAACCAAAATAGTAGATTTAAATGTTTTTATGATCATTTTTTGAAAGTTTTTTTTTTAAGTTTCATATCTACTATTTACAAGAACAGTAAAAAGAACTCCTTTATCCCCTTCATCTAGATTCTCCAACTGTTAATAATTTGCACATCTGCCTTCACCCTCTTTCTTCTCTCTTCCTCTTTCTCCCTCTATCTGTACATATAAATCAATCTTGCCATCCAGCCAGCATCTTTTTCTGAAATGGTGCCCTGTAATCCCAAACATAACTACTGGTATCTGTTCAAAGCAAGGCCACTCCCTTATATAATGATTTTGATATCACACTATTAGTGATTCACAGACTTCATTTAAATTTCAAAATCCTTTCTGATCCACACTGCTATCCAGAACATAGGTCGTACTTAATTATCATATCCTCAGAGCATCAGTCTTTTTCCGCTTTGGAACAGCTCCATGTGCTTTCTTGTCTTTCATAGTCATTCTATAGAATGACTGCTATGGTCTAAACATTTATGTTCCCTCAAAATTCATAAGTTGAAACCTGTTCCCCAGTGTGAGGGTATTTGGAGCTGGGGTCTTTGGTAGGTGATTAGGTCACGGGGGTGGAATCTTTCAGTGGGGTTACTGCCCTTATAAAAGAGGCTCCAGAGAGACCCTTCACTCCTTCTGCCATGTGAGGGTACAATGAGAAGATTATTCTCTATCGGGAAGCAGGCCCTCAGCAGACACTGAATTTGCTGGCGCCTTGATCTTGGAATTCCCAGCCTCCAGAATGGTGAGAAATAAAAATTTCAGTTGTTTATAAGCCACTAAGTCTATGGTTTTTTTTTATAGCAACCTGAACAGATTTAAGATAGTGACCCTCAACCTGGGTCTGTGCTCTGCCTCCTATGACCAGAATCATGCTATGTATTCCAAACTGGAATATCACCCTAATGGTGCAATGCCATCCTGTCCTACCATGTGCATGTTAATCTTTTTTCCCCCCAAGATAAGGGCTCACTATGTTGCCCAGGCTGGTCTTGAACTTAAATGATCCTGCCGCCTCAACTTCCCAAGTAGCTGGGACTACAGGTGCATACCATCACACCTGGAGGACGTGTTAATCTTGATCACCTGGTTTCTCTACCACAAGGAAACCTTTTCTCCTTTTGTACTCAATTAGTGTTTTACAAGAGTATATTGTGTTGCTCACCAATATCCTGTTCCTTCATGAGCCTTGGCATCCATTGAAGACTCCTGCCTATATTAACTACCACAATAATGGTTGCCAAATAATGATTATCTGTTTCCATCATTCCTTCTACATGTATTAGTTAGTATTGTGCAGTAGGGAAGAGTTTTCTATCTGTCCCATTGATTTATTCATTTATTGATATCAGTTTGGGTCTATCTTATTCAATGGGTTGTGATCCAATTCACTCATTTATTTTGATGCTCAAATTGTCCCAAAAATTGTCCCTGATTTGGCTCTAACTGTCAAACTGTCAGGGACAATTTCTCCCCGCTTGTCCCATAGGCATGGGAGGCTCCTATGTCCTTCATACTTCTTGCCACCATTCTTAAGCACTTTCATGCTTTCTGGCCTAAGAAGATACTCCAGGCTCATATAATTCTTTCCCTTTCCCAGCCCAAGAATCAGTCTTTTTTTTTCAAGATGTATTGATCATCTTAGTGGCAAAAGATATTTAGAAACTAAGATACAGGTGCTCTATATGCTCACTGCTAGTGAGTATTCATTATTTCTAAGTCTTCACAGTGAATGAAGCTAGGAAATAAATAAATACATACACAAACATGCATTTATAACTATTTCCGTATCTGTGTATGTACTTACAAAAACTAATGAGTTCATACTGATATTTTCAATATGACTCCAACATCTCATGGCTTTTCTGAGCCTTCCGCCTTTCTATTTTTATATTCTCTTTTTGCAGGGAGAAACTTAGCTCCCAATACCTGTAAAGACATTTACTAATTTGCTCAATGTAACCAATCTTTCCCCTAACCTGCTAGCCTCCTCTACCTTCTACCTTTGTGCCTTGGGTCTTCTCGCCCTTATTTCTTGGATACTATACGTGCTGCTGCTCAGTCCTCTGAGCAAGCCTCCTCCACATACATGTATACACATCCCTCCTCTTGAGACCTCTTCCCTGTCACCAATCCACTTCCTTGACAGCAATATCTCAGCCTTAGAGGAAGGGAGAGGAAAAAGGGATGAATGGGAAAAAAATGATAGACAAGGAAGGCCTGACCATATTTTGCTATTAATTTAAATGATACAAATTATGCTACATTATACATTTGGACACTAATGAGATTATGGAAAGATACCTTTCAAAGAGACTTCTAGAAAGAGTAGGTAAGCATGTGTAGATAAGACATGATAATAGGGCAGGGTAAAGGAACAGAAAAGAAAGATGAAGAGTATGTCTAAATTCCAGTCTGACAGAGCTGTTTTCATCTTCCCCAGACTGTGAAACAGTCTAATCTGCTCTGCTACGATATCTGTTTCTACGGTAAGTTTAGTTTGTGTGAGTCTAGTAAACAGGGAACAATGTCAGTATAACATGGAAGTTGTACTGGTTCATAAATGATTTTTCCTAGGCAAGGTGAGCTAGCATAGTTTGAGGAAAGAACTATAAACTTCACCAGGAAAGGAAAAAGCCCCCCCACTTGTCTGATGTACAGGTACAAACCCTCCCAGCTCTGTTATAAGAAAATTAAAAATAAGTGCAGCAACCAGAATTCTCTTGTCAGAGAGCTATGCCCCTAACCTTGCGGGGCTCTTATCTCCTGACAGTTTAGTTTGTGCTTCCTCAGGTGTTCAAAGGTCGGTTTCCATCTGCATTGTCTCCATGCTTGCAAGCCAACATTTCTGCTTTACTGGTTTTGTACATTTTCAATATTCCCTGAAGCAGCCCCAAGCATGTTGAGCTACCTGCCTGAATTGTCCAAGTTATCTCCAAGGTACTAATTCTCTTCTTGTTAGTGCTTTAGGTACCAAGTTCATTAGGTTTTAAATGATTTGTCTTTAACCTTATTTTCCCCCATAAACCCTGTAATTTTTAGTGCACAATTCTGCAGAACACAATATTCTTCAAGCTATGCTGAGAGCAGGATGGAGACTGATTCAGACAACCCTGAAATTTCAGCATAGCTTCCACCAAGACATTTTATTGTAGACAAAAAGAAGAAGCAAAAACCTCAGTTTATTTCGATCTTTGGCTTTTTAGAACCACTTGTGTTCAACCTTCCAAAGGATAAATCATCTTAAAGAAAATGAAGTGACTTGATAAGTTTGATCCCAATCTAAATGTGAAGATACTAAACCTTATTATTTATTAGATCTTACACATGTGTAAAGAAATCTATTCTATTCTCCATAACATGATTTAGTGGATTTCCATTTTCACTCAGGAAATGAAGACAAAAGAAATTAGGAAAGCAACCAAGAATATGTGATTGGTATAAGGTCTGCTACTCTGATTTTTATCAGGGTCACTCAGACCCATGGAGGAATAGCATATTCCTGAACAAGTCCCTCTAAGTCTTTGCATGGCTGGCTCCTTATTCAGGTCTCAGCTTAAATATCAATTCCTCAAAGAGGCTTTTCTTATCCACCTAATTTTAAAAAACTCCCTGTGTCACTATTTTACATCATCCTGCTGTGTGCTTTTCAACATTTGCTCTCTAGTATTTTCTGGCATATTTATACATTGTTTATGGGCCTTCTCCCAATAAAATGTAACCTCTATGTAAGCAGGGACCTTCCATCTTGTATGCTACCTCAAATAAGATTATCTTTGTAGTACAACTGTAGCCTCTATTTTTCAAAAGTTCATGCTTAGTCTAAGATTTTAAACAATGAGCTACACATTTGTGGAGCACTCATAAAAGGTGGGGAAAACAAAGGAAAATACATCACTGAATTTGTCCAAAGTTAGCACACACAGACAAAAAGGGAGTTAGTACCCATGTATGCACCCAACAATCAAATCCCTTGGAAGCTTTCCCAGTGATGTTTACTCCTTTTCATATAGTCCAGTCCCTTGCTTTAGTTGGTTGGCACAGCTCTGCTCCCCTCCTTTCTATGAATTAATCTTATATGCCATGATAGGAGGATAGGACAAGAGAATAATGCAATCAGGGCTAACGACTGGAACCAGATAAGACTGTTATTGTAACACTATCTATGAGTTTCCTACTATGTGCCACCATCTGGGCATCCTGCTATAAACAGTTCTAAATATACCTTCATCAATGTCTGGAGGCAATCCGCCTACAAACACCTTGCGAGAATATCGTTCCACTCTTTCCCCATTCTGGTGACTGAAACAGTGAGGTGAACCCAGGCCACTATGAAGAGGTTGATCCCCACGGCCATCATCCAAGAATCCATCTTCCATTGGAAACAGTGAAGACTGACCTGGAATAGAAAGCAGGGAAAAAACGGTAACAGAAAACGTTCCTTGTCACTGATTATAATGCACAAGAAACAAGGAAACAGCAGATTCAATAAAACTGCTGCTTTTGTTTTCTCACTGAATAATAGAAACACTTAGCTATACTCTTGAATTCCCACCAACTTAAAGGCCCAACTGAGTCAGAGAGAAAGCACATGGTTAAATATTAATAGAGGGCGACTCAAGTATCCCACTGGGATCCAGAAACTTCAGTGAAGTGAACTGAAGTACAGGAGGAGAGAGCACGCTTTAGCAAGCAGTCGGCAGCAGACTGTACTCCCTTGGCAGGGCCCCATGGCTATTGGCAACCTAGACATGTACACTAAGTATTAAATTTGGCTATAAGACATTGAATCACTTACATTTCTTTAAAAAATCAAACAATATAGCCTGCACGATTTCCTCTACAAATGTGCTTAAAATGAACAGGTAGATTTTTTTTTTTTTTTTCCTGAGACAGCGTCTCGCTGTTTTACCCAGGCTGGAGTACAGTGGTATAATCATAGCTCACTGCAGCCTGAAACTCTTGTGTTCAAGTGATCCTCCCACCTCAACCTCCCAAGTAGCTGGGGCTAGAGGCGCATGCCATGACATGTGGCTAACATAACAGGTAGATTTTTAAAGTGACCACTCATTTTTGTTTACCTTAACTAATGGGATATAATCAAAACCCACTTAATGTTACATTCCAACTTCATTGTGTAGTCTTATGGAATTTCAGATTATTAGGCATGCTAAAGATATATTTATTATTAGCTGGGTTATTATCAGCTTGCTAAGGGTATTATCTATTTCTAAAAACTAGTCATTAAATTTGCTATTTGAAAATCTTATCATCCAGAATATATATGCAGGAAACACCAGAGATGCCAATATGTGTAACAGTCCTTCCATATTTACCTGAGAGCAAAATATAAACTTTTAAATCATAAGGAAAACACAGAGCTACAAACAGCTGCACAATCTCCCAAGCACTATTTTATCACTTTTCTGACTGCCAATTTACTTCTAGGTACTACTTGAGGAATTTGTTAATGGATCCTCTAGAAATGTATCTCAAGTGCTCTTACTTTAATAGAAACATTCCAGGTTTTGCCATACTTGTCTTCAATTTCTATTACTAAACACAAATAATAACAGTATATTTTTTATAAATTTATCCTATAATAGCATATGTCAAGTGAAGACACGAGCCGATTATAAAACTGGAGCTTATTTCGTGAACGATCTTAAAAAATCACTTATCCTTTAAATCTAAGCTATTTAACTGTCTTACTTTCTTATAAAAAGACAAAATATAGGTGCCAAGAATAAGTTATTCAGGTACCTCTAGGAAATGATTCTTTAGAATTACCTAAAATTTCTAGAGCTTTTCCCCCAAATGTTTGAAATTTATAGGATTAGTCATTTATTTAGCTCATCTCATTTTAAACCACATGTATTGTTTACTTAGTACAAAAGAAAAAAGAAGTCGACATAAGGCGTGTAAGTATAATTAAACCTCCAAGATAATGAGGTATTTTGGGACTAGTGTGACTATATTTTTCTTTTTAAAGATTCTTAATTTTTTTCTAAGAAATTCCTTTTAGAAAGGAAAAAAAGCAAATCTTTAGATATAAGTTGAGTTTCTAACATAACACAGGGAAATCATTTTGATTCAAATCCAAATCCCACCATTCTGATAAATTTCTTTAGAGCTCCTTAACTCCTTCAAATTATGTCTAAAATGTTAACTGTAACACAAAAATTATGTAAGGATCAAAGCTATGCTTAATTTCCCCTCTCCCCTTCCCCACAAAGGTTAGAAATTAAACAAGCTTGGGTCGTCTCCAAATACAAGTGATACATTTAAAAGTTAAAAACAATGTTACCTCTCCTTCGCCCATATGTCCTTGCTGCATGTCAAATGAGAAAAAAACAAAAACAAAAAAAACAAAACAACCTTTCAAACATTGTCAAAAGAATCAACTGTGATTTCATCTACCAGCTTTTGAAAATGAAAAACTGTGACTACATTCTTCATTTCCTGGTAAATGTCTGAAAAAACAAGGAACTGGATGGTAAGAGGTCAATTTTGTGCATTTTTAAAATTTCTTCAGGGACACTGTAAAACTTTATTGAATCTTATTTGTTTTAGGGGAAGCTTTTTGCTGTAATTGTTGCCCAAGGTTCAAACTATTATGAAACGAAGGCAGTATACAACATGATCAGAACCAACTATTACCATATTAATAACGTTTTCTCTCAGAATTCCCTGCTAACTAGCAATTTAGTAGATATACCCATATTTAATTCATGACTTTTTCACCACCAGAAGAGAAATAACAATTTTACAGTATTCCTCAGTTAATCCTTTATAAGAGAAAATCATAACAAATGAAATCTTTAAGCAATTCATCAACTTCCTTTTAGCCAACAGTTCCCTATGCCTAATTAAGTCTTCTACCAAGTCCTAAATGTTGAAAAGTAAAAGGTTTGGTATTTTTATTGCCAAGTAGGTTGTAGCCAAGTGGCAAAGTAAAGGTAATTAATAATCCACTGGAATACTCAGGAAACGACAGTATAAACTTTAAATCAGAAAACCTTTGAGAAAATGTCTTCCCTGAAACAAATTGGCACTTATAAGCCCAGCCTGTCCAAACACCTCAATTCTATCCAACAAACATTTCTTGAATGCCCGATCTTGTGGATAAATAGTAAATAGAGCATGTCCCTGACCTCCAGAACTAGCAGCTTTTAATGCCAGAAGGCCACATAAGCAAACAACAGTGTGGCATGCCTATTGTTATGCTAGTTACGTGGTAGGCATAACAAGAATAGAGGAGGAAGAACTGGCTCTGATGAAAAAGTTGGGGGTGGGGGTAGGGAATTTGAGGTGGTCCTTAAAGGAAAAACAGAGGAAGGGCTCCAGGCTCAGCAGGGTTACAGGCAGGGGTGCTGCTGTAGCATTCAGGGAAAGGTGGCCAGAACAGAAGCATGTAGAACAAGTGGGGACTTGGCTGGGGATGAGGTTTCAACAGGAAACTGGGATGGGTTTTTTCTTTTTGGAGACAGAATCTAGCTCTCTCACCCAGGCTGCAGTGGTGTGATCTCAGCTCACTGAGGCCTCTGCCTCCCGGGTTCAAGTGATTCTCGTGCCTCAGCCTTCCCAATACCTGGGACCACAGGGACGTGCCACCACGCCCAGCTAATTTTTGTATTTTTTCAGCAGAGATGGGGTTTCACCATGTTGGCAAGATTGGTCTCGAACTCCTGATCTTAAGTGATCTGCCCACCTCAGCCTCCCAAAGTCCCGGGGTTACTGCCTGGGATAGGTTTTTGAGTTAGAAGGTATAGCTCCTTTAAGAAATCACTACCCAGACTCACAAACTAGTCAAGGTTTTTATTCTTATTCTTCTAGATAAATGTTAAATAAGTATAACTCAGAAATATTATGTGATTATCTTCCAAAGTGAAATTATATCTCAAACCAAAATACATTTCTGCCACACTCAGATAGCCCCAGATTTCACCAAAGTATTTGAGCAAATGGATTCACACAACATACAATCTCCCACAAGCAGTAGTGCTTTCACTTTAATAGGTCTTAAGTTTAGGGGGTTGGGGAGAGGTAGGTATTTTCTGACTTAATCAGACAGAGGTTAGAAAGACAAACAGCATCACAAAAGCAGATGCTTGTTTAAGAACATTCTATTCGGCCGGGCGCGGTGGTTCATGCCTGTAATCCCAGCACTTTGGGAAGCCAAGGCGGGTGGATCACGAGGTCAGGAGATCGAGACCATCCTGGCTAACACGGTGAGACCCCCGTCTCTACTAAAAATACAAAAAATTAGCCGGGTGTGGTGGCAGGCGCCTGTAGTCCCAGCCACTTGGGAGGCTGAGGCAGGAGAATGGCGTGAACCCAGGAGGCGGAACTTGCAGTGAGCCGAGATCTCGCCACTGCACTCCAGCCTGGGAGACAGAGCGAGACTCCCGTCTCAAAAAAAAAAAAGAACATTCTATTCATACAACTGCTTCAAAGATAAGGGAGTCTGGGGAAACAAAGTAATGATTTGAAAATCTTAGTGCTGTCAATCTTAAAAAGTTGATTGATGCTGCTTGGATTTCTGAGAAAACAGATATTTGAAAAGAATAAGCTTTTATAATATAGCTACAAAATTAACATGAAAATTCTCATGGCTTCCATTATTTCAAAAATAAATAACTGCCAGAATAGTAAGGGCTGTGGATCAAAAGTTACAATCAAATACTCTTGAAATCTTCAAATGTATACTCTCAAATTTTGATTATATACTGTAAAATTAAACTGGTCAATATAAAATAATTCATGGTTAAATTCCGAGATTAAATTCTGAAAGCTACGTAGACATTTTCTCATATTAAGGGAAAACAGGTTATAAGTGAACAATGTTTACAACTATAAAAGTTGCCCAATCAAATCAGGAAATTAATGTAAATTAATACTGAAGAAATAAAAACAATGACATTCTGGAACATTCAAAACGAGCATGTGTCCTTATACATTATTTTTCATGTAAATTTTGACATAAGATACATACACAAAAATAAATAAATCATAATAAGTTCAATGAATTTTCTACAAAAAAAACAGATCTATGTAATAGGAACCCAGACATTAATATAATGCTAAATAATGTCACTTTATCTTACATAAAAAAGATGTACTAAGCACTTTTCCTCACTTATTTCAAAGTATATTGGCACACACTTTATGATGAAATTCTTGCAACATAGAACCTCTCTGCTTTCCTAAGGAAAATGTCAGACGGATTTCCAATTTCATGACCAGCAAGTGTTGCTCATTATTTGATGTTTCTCAAATGTCCGAGGAAGTGTAAGTTAAGAAATGACTTTAATTATGTTCAAAGAAATCTACATTTTGGAAAAGTTCTAAGTCAGCAAAACTCACTCTGTTAGTTACCAAAAAGTAGACTCTTAAAAGATTTTTTAGATGCATGCCATTACCACTGAATAAAAATCTCCCGGTCCCACCAAAGTTTTAATGAATACTATTTATATGTTTATCCACTTTTATTATTTCTTAGTTTTGATTTATTTTATTTTTATTTTTGGAGATGGAGTCTTGCCCAGGCTGGAGTGCAGTGGTGCGATCTCAGCTCACTGCAACCTCTGCCTCCCAGATTCAAGCAATTCTTCTGCCTCAGTCTCCCTGGGACTACAGGTGTATGTCACCACACCCAGCATTTTTTTTTTTTTTTTTTTTTTTTTGTATTTTAGTAGAGACGTTTTTTTTTTTTTTTTTTCAGGCTGGTCTCAAACTCCTGAGCTCAGGCAATCTGCCCACTTCAGCCTCCCAAAGTGCTAGGATTACAGGTGTAAGCCACCGTGCCCAGCCTAGTTTTGATTTATAAAGTCCTCAATAATTTAATGTTCAGAACTAACAGGATTCAAGAATGTTAAAAAAAAAAAAAAGGCTCAAAATATTATGGCCATAAATTTTTATAACTTCTGGATACCTGCTATTAGATCTGTTGATATACTTTATTTCTAAAACATCTTTATAGGATTGCTTACAAATGCTTCCTTTCTTTGTTATTATCCTTATATACAGAATCAAATTCCCTCTAGCAAAATATTCCATTAATCTGTAATGCCAGACTTACGAAGAAGGTACAGAAAGACTTGTCAGGGCTCCCCCGACTTTCTCCCTCCCCACATACTTTATTATAAAAATAAATTATTATTTATCCCATAAAAAGTACTTTTTTCTCATTTGTTGCAACATTTGTAATAATCAAAAAGAAACAAAGTACCCACACATTCAAAAGAAGAAACATCTAGTATGTGGCATTTTTTATTTTATGTATGTACATATATACGTATGCATTTATTTCAAAGGAGCAACCCTATTAACTGAGCATGTGGCATTTTTAAATGTGGCTCATGTTCATGTACCTAAAGCTCTCTAAGATGTCGGCCTGCATGCAGTGTCTAAGTGTGTATTGTAGAATCCTTATTGTGTACATTTAAGAATAAAGAAAATATAAACAGATATGTAGGAATATGCATAAAATTTTTACTTTTTATTTTATTTTTATTTTTATAGAGATGGGGTTTTGCCATGTTGCCCAGGCTGGTCTCAACACCTGGGCTCAAGCAATCCACCCACCTGGGTCTCCCCAAGTGCTAGGATTGCAGGCATGAGCCATTGTGACTGGCCATGAAATATTTTTTCTAGAAATAACCACAAGAACCTTTGGAGACAGAAACTTCTAGAAAGAGGAAAGAAGGCATTCACTTCTTGTTTTATCCCTTTCTGTACCATTTGAATTTATTATTATTGCATATGCTATATTGCTATATTTGTTAATGAACCCTTTTTGGTTTTCTCCTTGGTACTAATATTAAAAATGAACAAATGACATTATTGCTTTCATACAAAAGCATACTTTGCTACATGAGAGGACCTAATCAAATCAATTCTGTCACGAATAGGACTTTAGGCCATGAAGGATCAGATATTACTATGTTTTAGTGGACAATGAAACAATGGATCCTATTCGGGTTACGCTGATCTACCTTAGGCTCTCCATCTGTGCACCTCTCAACGCCCCACGGTGAGAAGACAAATAGCAATGCTATTTGGAAAAAAAGGGGAGGGGTGTAACTCAGATGATAAGATGTTATCAAAAAAATGACTTCTGGCTAGGCATGGTGGCTCACACCTATAACCCCAGCACTTTGGGAGGTTGAGGTGGGCGGATCATTTGAGGTCAGGAGTTCAAGACCAGCCTGGTCAATATGATAAAACCTCATCTCTACTAAAAATATAAAAATTAGCTGGGTGTGGTGGTGCACGCCTGTAATTGCGGCTACTTGGTAGGCTAAGGCAGGAGAACTGCTTCAACCCGGG